CCTGGAAAGTGTACAACTTATGGAAAGAGGTTGCAGAAATTAGGAATGCTTAGCCTTAAGAAAAGAAGACCCAGGAAGAGTTTTTCAGATACCTGAAATAGAGCCATATAGAAAAAAAAATCAAGGCCTGGTTGAATGTTTAAGACAGTGGTTCTCAACCTGTGGGTCGGGACCCCATTTGGGGTCGATCGACCATTTCATGGGGGTCGCCAAGCAAGGCTGTCCGCCATTTTTTTGTCCGCCATTTTTTTTGTCTGCCATTTTTTTCCCCCTTTTCCGGCGGGTGCCTTACCTCCCTTGGGCTGGGCCAGCTGGTGGTCGGTCTGCTCTGTCTCTGCCGCTTGCCAGCTACGCCTCGGCCGGTGCAGGGGGCGGAACCACGCATGCACGGCGCTCCCGGGCAGGGAAAGTCCTTGACTTACGACCGGTTGGGTAGTCCTCGACTTACGACCGGTTTAGTCCTCGACTTACGACCGGTTTAGTCCTCGACTTACGACCGGTTGGGGTCGCGGCATTAAAAAGGTTGAGAACCACTGGTTTAAGAAGTTCTTAACAATAAGAAGAGTTTAATAGGGATGTGCAGAGAAGTGATAGGCTTCGTTGGATGTGTTTAAGAGGGTACTAGACAACACTTGAATTTGGTTTCTTGTACTGAGAAGGGGATTGTACTTTAGTGCTGCTTTTCAACTGTGTTTCTATGACTTCTAAAAGTAACAGTTATTTCCTTTAGAACAACATGTGATTTCATATCCTGCTTGTTCTCAGTGGTCTGTCTGCTGTGCTTTATTTACATATGTCACAAAGTGCTCTTTAAAGAGTGTTGTCTAAGGAGTCATAACTTGATCATTGCTGCTGTGGGTAGGTTTTGTGTAGAAACATTTTGCTAACATTATGAGAATGATATGTATTGTGCTGTTTGAAATACTTTACAGAGTAACAATGGTTACTCAATTCCATAAAGAAAAAGATGAATGAATACTTGGGGGATGCTTAATAACTTTCTTTTTAAGAATTTTGATTATAATGGTAAAATTTAATACAAACTAAACTTTAAAAAATAAAAGAGAATAGGAAGAAGAAAAAAGAAGAAAGAGACAAGTATGAATACAGTAAAGAAGTAAGTAAATAAGTAAATAAAGATTATACTAAAGAATAAATTCTGACCTTCATCACAAAAAGTATAAACACATTTAGTGACTCTTCACTCCCTCTAGGGTTACAAACATTTATTACTTCATCCCATATACCATTTATTATCCATAAACAAAACCATGAAACATTTTTTTCAGTCCTGGTGTCAGCAGAAAGTCTATAAAGGGTTGGCAGAAATAACAACATATCTTGTTTTAACATTGATCAAATAAACCAGGGATCCCCAACCCCCAGGCTGCGGCCATCTACCGGGCCTTGAGCCATTTGAACTGGGCCACAGAAGTGGTGGCAAGAGGGAAACCATATCCTCTCCCTCTTCCTGCTGGTCTGCAAAGCCAGAAAAGTTGGGAAACTCTAAAATAAACGATCTTTATATTCCTCTGTATCACTTCCAACAGTCTCAATCTTTAGCTCATTTAAATGTTATGGGATTTGATTTCTCTTCATTTCTTCTTTGCCCCACTGCACAGAGTTCTTCAAGGTTTTCACAAGTCTCTTTTATAGATCCAATAGGACAAAATTATTGAGGTCACTGTTTTGGTTTGTCATTTGCATTTCTCTTTTAAATTTTAAAACCTCAGCTAGTTTCTTTTGTAAATCCAGTGAAACATCCTTTTTCTAATTCATTCTCTTGGCCTGTGAATTGTAAATCTACTTTGATATCTCTATACAGTATTGTCAGATAAAAATTATTCTACATGTGTCATTTCTTCCATAACATCTTTATGAGCCGTGGTGACACAGTGGTTAAAATGCAGTACTGCAGGCTACTTCTGCTGGCTACTGGCTGCCTGCAGTTCGGCAATTTGATTCACACAGGCTCAAGGTTGACTCAGCCTTCCATCCTTTCAAGGTCGGTAAAATGAGGACCCAGATTGTTGGGGGCAACATGCTGACTCTAAACCACCTAGAGAGGACTGTAAAGCACTGTGAATGGGTATATAAGTCTACGTGCTATTGCTATCTTTTGGACGTAGTCTATTCATGGAAGCAGACATCATTATTGATGTTATTGATGTTGCAGCTACTATTTTCTTATTCCATTCTTCAAACGTCTCCTTCAATATTTTCATTGTTACACTGTTTTGCAATATTTTACAGACTTGAGTTCTTTCCTCTTCCTAAAAGCCTTTGTCCCCTCTAGTGTCCGTGTCATGAAATTTCTTATCTTTGTTATATCTTGTAAAAACCAGAGCAGAATTTATTTTCCATCAAAAGGTGTTCTTTATAATCACAGCTAGTCCTTGACTTAATACAGTTCATTTAGTGACTGTTCAAAGTTACAACGGTACTGAAAAAAGGGACTTATGACCATTTCTCACACTTACAATTGTAGCATCCCCATGGTCATGTGATCAAAATTTGGATGCTTGGCAGCTGATTCATATGCATTATGGTTGCAGTGTCCTGGGGCCATGTGGTCACCTTTTATGACAAGCAAAGTCAATGGGGAATCCAGATTCACTTAACAACCATGTTACTAACAATAACTGCAGTGATTTACAAGAAAGGTCCTAACATGGGGCAACACTCATTAAACAAATATCTCGCTTAAAATTCATTTAACAAGCATCTTGCTTAGCAAGAGCTATTTTGGACTCAGTTGTGATTGTAAGTTGAGAACTATACAATCTTTTATAATAAGTTTCAATATTCCAATTTTACTTGGACTCCTAGTCTGTTTGTAACTTTCTAAGATCAGAATCTTATTTAGTTTTTTGCTGCTTATTCTGGATTCTTTAAATTCTTAAGCTTATGATTAAAAGTTTGTTTCCTTTATGGTTAACTTGGTGTTTTCAAATTTTTGAAAGAAAAGGTTAGAGGTACTTAATGAGCAATTTCTGCAAGTGATAAGAAAGTAAGGTTTGCGAACTTACAGGCTTTTAATAGTCTCCAGGGTTGCAAGCAAAATGGCTAATGTCTCCCAGCACCGAAACATGTAGAAAACCACTGTCCTGCAAGGACACCTGTCCAGGATATGTGGGCATGTGGATAATCTCCCATCCTCTCCTTATCCAGAGAGGTTCCAAGGAACTATTCTGCTTACTTGTTTCTTGGTCTTTGCTGTGTTTGTTGGCTCTGCTTTCAAAGAACCATCTTCAGTTCACCGTACTTCCCTTGGAAGTTTTCTGGATGCTTAATAACTTTGTAAAATAGAGGCAGGCTCCAGTTATTTTCAATAACTCTTCCCATAATATGTGACTATGCTAATTAAGTTAATCCAATTTATCTACAGTAGCACCCCATTGCTTATCCTGCCTTGAAGCAATTCTATATCACTCAAACCACAAAGCAGAAAATAGTGTCAAATTTGATAAGTAAAAGATTCCCTGAGCCATCCTATACAGTAGGGGTTCCCCAACGTTTTTGGTTCTGTGGACTGGTGACAGCTGCTTCAGTGGTTTTGGCAGTGGGGGCGAATGGTTTTGCACATGCAATCTAAATCCCGCACCTTAGCAAATGAAGCTTCACACACTTGTCTGCCGGTAACGGATCATGGCCCAGGGGTTGGGGACCCCCACTGTATAGTGACACAATTGCTATTTTAGAATGCATGTGATGGGAAATAACTTGTCAAATTCAATTTGGGCGTCTAGCCAGTTCTGGCTTTTAAAGTACAGATATAAAGAGTTTTTAACCTTTTTATTATTTAATTGAAATTATTTAGGACTTTTGCTATCCTATTTCATTATATTGAATCAAAACCATGTGGTTTTGACCTTTTCCTTTTAGGTTGGTGGTTTCCCAGAAGTTGTTATTGTTGTTATTGTTGTTGTTATTATTGTTGTTGTTGTTGTTGGAAGGGACCTTAGAGGTCATCTAGTCTAACCCTCTGCTCAGGTAGGAAACCCTATACCAGTGATGGCGAACCTTTTAGAGACTGAGTGCCCAAAAACTGGCCCTGCCCCGCTCCCGCTCCACCCCCCATCCCCCACCCTGCCTGCCCGCAGGGCCACTCACCACCTCCAGGGCCCGCCGCAGATTGCCCAGGCAGCCCAGCAGCACAATGGCGGTCACGCCCTCTGCCCACGCCCTGCAGCATCAACTGTGCACGATGGGGTGTGAGGGCAGAGTCTTGTCTACGCTGCCTGGCTGCCATGTCCTTGGCTGCGCTGCTCCGCATGGGCCACGCTCAGGGGCGACTCTCCTTCAGGGGGGCTGCTGGAGAGGGGGGTCACGGGGGAGGCGAGGCTGGGGCAACGGCACGTGTGCCTACAGAGAGGCCTCCGAGTGCCGCCTCTGGCACCCATGCCATAGGTTCGCCACCACTGCCCTATACCATTTCGGACAAATGGCTGTCCAGTCTCTTCTTAAAAACTTCCTGCCTCGCTCTGTCCGGATGAAATTGAACAGAATTATGTATGATACTGGAAGAAGTGCCTCTGCCCTGTATACATGAGGGTGGAAATATTCCCCTTGTTGAGACTGGGGTGCTGATATGCAAACAATTAAACATTTTGTGCAAGATTGCCCGCGACATGCGTTTTCTGGTTCTCTAGAAGATCTGCACAAAGCAACGCCAGAGGCAATTGCCTGGATAACTAAATTGGACATCCAGTTATGAGGCCACTGCCATACTCCCATAGAAGTTTTGTATATAATTATGTGGATTGTATGTATATTCTTACTTCTCTTCTGCCAGGTTCTTATCATATGCTAAATAATAAATATGATTATATTGAATACTTTATTTGGCCAAGTGTGATTAGACACACTTGAAATTCGTCTATATTGGTATAAAGGTCTGATCTACATTTTGTTTCTTAAACTAATGCTTTAGGTAAGCATTAAAATATGCTGCATTTTTCAGAAGAATGTATCTGAGCTTTTCCCTTTCTTTGTTTTAGATGATCAGCTACTCAGATTTCCACAACAGATTTTGAAGAAACTGCCATCCGATCAACAGATTAGTAAACTTGCTCAGAGACTTGGACCTGAATGGGAGTGCATTGTATTATCTCTTGGCTTGAGCCAAAATGACATTTACTGTTGTAAAGTCAACCACCCATACAATATCCAATCACAGATTATAAGTGCCTTCATTTTATGGAGGCAGCGTTTAGGGAATAAAGCTACTACGGAGAGTCTGTGCACTGGTTTAAAATTTGGAGAAGTAGATTCTTCAGTAATCCAGCAACTGCTTCAATGAGCTTCTAAACTGGATTGAATCGAACCAAAGGCCCATCCCATATTCCGTCTCCACAGTGCTCACTCAGAAATTATGGAAAGTCTACATCTTGGCATGACTTTAGCAACTACCCAGTATTCTCACTCACATTGCCTACCAATTGACTTTAACATGCGAATGTTGATTGTTGCAGCAGGTATATTGCCATCATGATCAGTGTTGGTAACCTTTTCCTCTATGGAGTCTCCAAATGCCATGCCTTCTTCATATGGCAAAGCCACTTTTAAGATCAGATACTGTGGAGGAGATTTTGGTATTGCATGAGATCCTGTCGTTTGGATGAGAAATTAGTGTTGACAACTGTACCAAAGCTGTGCAAGCCTTCCGCAATACCAAAGCACTCTCCTCTTGACCTTAATTACCTTTATTAATAGCAATAAGTTGATCCAGTAGCAAATCATAAGGAAAGGGCTGTCATCACTGAATAGCTACCAAGGATAATAGTCTCACTAGTAGAGATGCAAGGAAACAGAGCAGGTACTGCTTTTTTTAATGTTAATATCTAGGAATGTTACAATGTCCTGTTTATTTTTAAAGCTTGCATATTGTGTATTATTACAACCATAAAAAAGAACAGTCCAAAAAAGCTGCATTTTGTTATATGAATTCTGATTACTTATTGTGTAAGTTAACTTAAGTCATGGATTGGATCTGATCTTAATTCTTGATGGTGTGCACTGGAGTGGCCATACTCTATATTCTATATTTAGTATAAAAAGATTAATAATACTGATATATGCTTTTGCCTGCAGCTTCATCTTAGACAAAAACTTCTCTGCATTTCCTGAAGTTAATGGATCTAAGTTTGCCTATCTTTGCATGTGTCAAAAAACCTCCCAAAATTTCTAATTTAAAAGCAAGTACTGGCGAAAAACATACTTTTTCCAACCTGACTATTTGTGTCATTTTCCTCTGGATATGTTCATTTGTGATTCAATAATATTGCCAAGTGTTTTCTACTTACTGGATTGAATTTTGCAGATATTCCTAAAAGCCAGTGTTCTTATTTGATTGCTGTCAGCTTTCATTCCTCTTTAAATCACTTACCACCCAAGGATCATCTGATCAAGTAGATTTTTTTTCTCTAGGAAGTTGATCCCTTGTCCTCTGCCTTCTTGAAGATTCTTATCAGAATTTGTATACATTTTAATTGTCCACTACTACCCTGACTCTCTATCACCATCCCACTCTCTTACCTGTTTCTAAGATTTATCATATTTTAGTTAGTAGATTGTAAAATTTCTCATTTCACTCTCCCTTTGATTGTATGGCCTAATAATTTAGAAAAGATGTTTATTTATTTAGAATACAGTGGGATGTGAAACCCAGTTCCCTTCCAATGCCTCAAAACTCTGTTTTGAATCTGTTTCTCCAGAAAGCTAGCATTATCACCAAGGAAAGAGTTGCAATAGTCAGGCCAAAAAAGATAAAAGGAAACTGTCTTTAAAATGCTCTGGTGCATACTCCTCTTGCATAGTAAGAAAAGGAAATTAGAATTAAGGGTTCAGTAAGTTTGCCTTCAAATTAGAGTAAACTTTATGCTAATCTTATTTGCCTTAATGTTATTTTTGAGGTTTGAGAAACTTCATTTGAACAGTGGTATGATATTTTCTGATTTTGATTACCTAACCTGGCCTTGTAGTGATTTCTGTGGGAGGAAAAAAAACCCAGTTATTTAATCTTTTAAAATAGTAAATGAAACTCTAACAATCAGTTCTGCCACATTCAAGGATAAGTTTGAATCATTCGTTCATTTTTTCCTTTGTACAAAACTACTTTAATCTGTGTTTAAAATTTTGCTTGTACATTTTCCATTATGGATCTCCCCCAGACGAACTTTCTCCTATTGTTTCCTGTCCTTCCTTCAGATGCCATGGAGAATAAATTGATGTCCTCTTCCCTGCAGCAACCCTTCAAGTATTGGAATATTGCTGTCGTGCATATCATCCACCTACCTGATGCAGGTGGCAGCTTGCTTTATTAAGCACCGGAGTTAATCTTCGTGCCTTGAGTGACCATTTTAGAATTATATATCCTTGGCATCATCTCTAACATTTGTGGCTCATCCCTTCCAAAAAACCCCACTTACTCACCATGATGAGGCAGCAGAGCAGGACTTGTGGAGGCCTTGCAGATGAGAGTTATAGAAATAGCAATTGCAGCTTTTCCTTCTCTGCCCATTCTCTGGAGTGAATATGCAATATTTTTTTTTTCCAAATATAAGTTTTTATTATTTTCATCATAAAAAAAACATCACAAATATATCATAATGTTATCAAGAAAAAAGCCCCACCCCCCACCCCCCACCCCGGACTTCCCAAACCTAATCCCAGGATACTATTCAAATAAAAGTAAACTAATATTAATATCCCTAACTCCACAAAATATCATTCTACTTAAGTAGGTGAAATATATATCTAAAAAAAAAAGAACAAGTTAACTAAAAACCTAAATTATATTCCACCATTCTATGCTTTTTTTGAATATAAGCAATCCATCTTCTCCATATTAATAAAAATTGTTCATTTGAGTGATTCTTCAAATAAGCCAAAATCTTTGCCATTTCAGCAAAATACGAAACTTTCAATCTCCAGTCCTCCATTGTAGGTAGAACTTTACTCTTCCAATTTTGAGCTATCAACAAACGGGCAGCAGTTAAACAATACAAGATCAAATTCGTTTCTTTTACATCCAAGTTTTGTGTGATACCTAGGAGAAACAACTGAGGCAAAAAAGTAATTCTTCTTTTAAAGATTTGCTGTAAATTCCACCACAATTTTATCCAAAAAGCCTTAATAACCTTGCAAGTCCACCACATATGGAAAAAAGTTGCATCTTGTTGTCCACACCTCCAGCACTTGGATTCATAATTCTCATAAATGCGAGACATAGTTGCAGGATCCATGTGCCATCTATAGAACATTTTATAAAAATTCTCACGTAAGTTTTGAGCTTGCGTAAATTTCACATTTCTCACCCATATCAACTCCCAGGTATCCATAGATATTGTTTCTCCTATATTTTGAGCCCATTTAATCATGCAATCTTTAACTAGCTCAGTTTCTGAATCCAATTCTAATAAAACATTATATATCCTTCTGATATGTCCTTTAGCATCATCCCTTACTTGTTTCAAAAAATTCCCATCTTCCATGGAAAAAACAGTTTTTTTGTCAATTCGCCATCTGTCTTGAATTTGTCTGTACACAAGCCAGGAAAAATCTGGATTTTTCTGTTTCAAAAGTTCTATTGATTTGAGGCACCAATCACCACTACCACTCTGATATAACAAATCTTTATAAGATGGCGCCTCCATCACCACAAATCTAGGTATAGTCAGAAAAATATGTGATGGTATCACCCAAATTGGAAGTTTAACATCAAACTTAGCGAAATACTTTTGCCAAACTCTTAACAGTGCAGCCCTTATTATATGATTTCTAAAAGTTTTATCAATCTTTTTCTGCATAAAAAGGCATGCCACCCAAAGTACAAGTCCCATCCTTCAAGATTCAAAATCCTCTTGTTTGACAAGTTGATCCAATCCATCATCCATGTTAATGCACAAGAATCATAATAAAGTGTCAAATTTGGAGCTTTAAGTCCTCCACGTTCTCTAACATCTTGAATAATCTTAAATTTAACTCTCGCTTTCTTGCCCTCCCAGATGAAGCGATTCAAATCTCTCTGCCATTCTTTCAAGTTAAGTTCATTTTTTAAAATAGGTAACATCTGAAATAGAAAAAG